AATTAAATAAACCAAAACCTCTTGATGAAAGCAGCCTTTCCTTCCATCTCATACCTTCAAAATGCTAACCTCTAAAGATTGATAAAGGCTCTGACTTAAGTACTGATGAAATGGATTGAATTGGATTATTAAGTTACGGCAAAGCAGGGCTATCTGCCTAAAAGGAAGGATGCCTTCGTGAAGAACTTTCTAAGGGAAACCAGCTGGCATGCATGCTACACATGAGGCGAAAGTCCAGGGAAATCGAAAATTGCACCAAAAGGACCAAAAAAATACCGGGAAAAGTCAGGGAATTCGAAAATTGACCAAAAATTCAGGGAAAAGTCAGGGAATTTAAGTATTTTTGTCAAAATCTGGAAAAGTCAGGGAAGTTCATACAACGATCCCGCCAAAAAAAGCGATTTTTGCGCCGACGTCGGAAGAGATAACTTTTTTGGCGAATTATGTATCACGTGAGTGTCATTCGGGTAGCTGGCATAGAGCCAATTTTCGCAGCTCCAATTTGATTGTCTTTTAGAAAGGCAAAGCAACTTTCCCGCAACTTTTGGTTTCCAGTATTCTCGAGAATCGCATGTGCAGTGCATGAACTAAAGAAAGTACCTGTTCTCGTATAAAACAAAATGGGTTTAATCCTAGTATACGGTACCATGGAGGTTAGAATCAAAGAATATGTATTGTAAAGAAGGAAAACCTCTCTGCAACAGACGTGGCTGTGGCTCCGTTCCATCATAGAGGGAAACAGCTGTGCATGTCTGATATATCTGTCGCCAAAGCTCGAAACCGGTGTCGAAGTTCGAAGGTCACGTTATCAAGAGTTCATAAAATGAATATCGTTTAAAATTTCTTTAACCACTTGCGCTAAAAAGACGTGCCACGCACGTCGAGATGCTTTTGTCTCAAACCGCGAGCGACGTGAACACCACGTCGATAAGCATTTATCGCAAAAATGAAAATAACGTGGTGCACACGTCGCCTAACAACGAGATTGTTTATTTCTCGAGTTACAGCTCTGGATTGCACTCGCAGATGCGGAGCGGCGTAAATGAGACACTTTACCGCTTGTTATATTGTAGCGCACGGCACCGCAACCGTGAAGTTTAGTCTTAGCGCAAGTGGTTTAGCGCAAGTTAAACTCTAAAGGATTAAAGGAAAGAAAATATTTTTTGGCGCAAGTAAATTAATTCATGGATTAGTTATTTTCAGGGAAAAAAAAAAAAAAAAAACTACGAAAATCCGTTTTTAAAATTATTGCGAAAAATCCAAGAAGAAACGTCCTTTGATAAAACGTTTCTTCTTGGATTTTTCGCAATAATTTTAAAAACGGATTTTCGTAGTTTTCTTTTTGTCAAAGAAGCGTTTCTTCTTAACACGTGTTTCTCAATTTCCTGTACACATCGCGGAGAGGGAAATTCTGGCCGCCAGGTTCCGTCGCCAAATCCCTTGGCAAATTTTCCCTCCGCATTCTAGCGGCGTAATAGCATTTTACTTGTATGGAACCTTTTCTTCTTTACATAGACGTTCTTTGGTTAGAATAATAATAAGATTTGGCGACATCATGATGCGCAGTAAACGGGTCATTTTGGTCTTGGCGACAATTTTCAAAATCGTGCCAAAGCCTTACCGTATACTAGAATTTTACCGCAAAATCTTTTTAAACCTTTTTTTTTTTCTTTTTAATAAATACCTTGCCATTTTGCAGTAAAATAAAAAAATAGTAATCAGTCATCTAGGCTAGCCATGTAATATAACTATATTCGCTAAAATATCGTTGATTATTCTAATTCAATTTTTAAGTAATTATTTTTATGTTATTCATATAATTTAATGTTGCTTCTTCCCTCTAAATTTATTTATTATTAGTAAATAATATTTCCAAATTTCAGGAAATTTTCTCTGGCATAATCCTGAAAATTTAATAGCAGTATGATGACATACCATCACGAAATTTAATGCACATATTTTTTCCTTATGTATGCTGCGAAATAAATATAAAATACCTCAATTTATTAAAATAGATTTCTTTCTTTCGTTTAGCTGCAGAATGTCTGCAAAAAAAAAAAAAAGCCTTATTTTATTCCAGATTGGGAAGATTCTAATCTCAATCTTCAGTGGAGAAAACAAAAACTATTATAATTATATTTGTGTTTTCAAGTGTTAAGGTGCCTTTTAAGAACATACCTCACGCAAATTAAATTTACCTAAAATCTAACCTAACTATTTAGCATTGCGTTGTGATTTATAAGGACCGGATTAGCCTCGTGTTGAACTGGTGATGATCATGAGTAATAATTAAATAAAACATACATTTGTTATCCAATGTATATATCTTAAATTTAAGTTTCTTAAGTGGAAAACTAAACAAAATTATCAAAGTATACCAAGAATAATTAAGAATAAATGTCCTCTGGGATTTATTGAATAATTAAGTGAATTTGCTACACAATACAAGTAATACCATAATTAATTTACCTATTAGCACAGCCAACGTACATTATGCGGATAGACTGGAATTTTCTTGAAACACACCTGGAAAGCCTGGAAAAGTCAGGGAATTTCATTCTCCTGTTTGAGTGGCAACCCTGAAGAATAAAGCAGAATGCCTGAAGAAAAACTGTTTAAAGCAGTGTATGCAAGCCATCCTAAGTTAAAATGTCGGTTATACATCTCTCTTATTTATATATCTTTTCTGAACGGAACATTGAAAGGCGTGTTAAGTGTGCTTTGCTGTATTTTCTCCTTTAATATAGGCAGTTTTCAAACGCATCGTAGTCTGGGTTACAAAGTATTCTTCCAAAAGAAACTCAATTTAAATAAATAAAATCAAATTCTGAAAAATTTATATTATTAAAAAATATATTTAAATATATTTGAATGAATAAATAGAAAATTTTAATATAATTATCTGAACAGACAATTCAACACTAAAATTAAAATAAATGTCTAAAAATTTAAAATTACCTAAAATAGTAACTATGACTAAAAAATATAGCATAAAGGAATCTATTTGACAAAAAAAAAATAATAATAAACGATGCACCTTTGATTTAAACTACGCAGTTCGAATGAGTAAATAGAAATTTTTAAAACAGTTTATTCGAGAGAGAAACCATCCAACTTAAACAATTAAAATGAAATTCAAAAAAGAAAAAATTGCTTAAAAATAATAACACTTATAATTAAAATATAATATAAAGAACATTATTTGAAAGTAGGAACAATCGGGTCTTTTTTCCTCTCATGCGCTATGTAAAAATGGAAATGAAAATAGGTTGCCACATATTAAGAAGTTTGCCAAGTGAACTAATTTTTGCGCAAACTGAATAAAAAGCACAAACATAAATTGTTGAATTTCTCCCTAAATTTTGCACCAAATTTTACAAAGTCTAATATTTAGGCATAATTTGAGTCGTAGGATCGAAATATGTAAAAAAATTGGTATGTTATTTCAGAAATAGTCCGATTTTGTGTCGAAATACCTATGTTAGAATAGTGCTATATATAAATCTGATATTACGTATTAAGTCGCGCTTTTGAGACATGAAGAACGCAATTTGAATTTCGTGAATCGGCCCAGTAGAAAGGGAGATATAGAACTGTCTCTCTCTCTCTCTTCTCTTTTTTTTTTTTTTTTGAGCGGTGTACAAGAAATAAAGGTAGGCATAGTAAATAACTACACTAATACAATTTAGGCTTAATTCAGTATGCAATAGGAGCAAGACAAAATTTATCGAAACAACTTGGCTTTCATTGCAAGTCTTGTGATATACAGCCAGTAATGTATAACGGACACTATTAAGTTAGGCTAAAATTATCTTTACCGATTCTAAGCATTTCAATTAATGTAGCAGACTGCGCTGCTCCCTGATCTTCAAATTTGATCCAGCTTATTATTTTTTTGCAGACTGTTATTACAGCAATTTTATTAAAACTAAGCTTGAACTTTTGATTATATCAAAAAGATACCCTTTAGATCATAATTGTTCTTTATTTCATAAATTAGGATTTCATATTTTTCATTTCATGTTTTTCATTGTATAATTTCTGCGTGCCATCTTACCAGATTTAAATTGATGATCTATTATCCGGAAAAATCACAAATGCGGAATCGCCGGAGTCCTGACCAGTACGGATTTCGGACTTTGTCCTGTAATAACAACAGCAGCTAACTAAACAACTGAGAGCAGATGTTCTCTCTTCAGCCTTAAATAGTTTTCAACCAGCTGTAAGAAACTATTTCTAGTACTTTTTGCTCCTAGAAATTACTGGAAAGTAATACGAGGGTGGTATTACAACAGTTACAGCTAATGTAATAGTCAATCACATATATTCAGTTTCAATACAAATTACTGAGATACCCATTTACTCAATGTTAAATGCACATTCTCCTGTATTCTTACTTTTCTGGCATAGCTTCCTCTAAAAAATTTGTCTCACACTGCATTATACAGAAAAATACAACAATTTTAGTTATAATTCTATTAAAATTACCTATCTAAATATAAAATTCGCAACACTACTCTTGATGAAATCATCATCATATGTGTAGTAAATATTCAAACTTTGTCATAGTTATTCCTCAGTCTAATCTGCTGCTAAAATTAGTTGATGTCTGTATGTTATGAGTAATATAATTAATAATGTGCACATATGATTTGTACATGTTCTCAATCCATAGTGTAATGCATTAATAATTCTTATTTTCATACAGTACGCTGATAATGATCTGTGTCATAAAAAGTTGCCTTAATTTTTTTTGCTGTTATTTTGAAAAGCTCTTATATTCATTTTTTTATGGAAGTTTTTCAAACAAGTACTGATATGTAAAAATTCATCAGCATTTGATAAAGTAATTTTGAAATAAATTCATTTCATTTTTGAATTTTATAATATAATTAAGCTATATATTATTTTTCATAAAATCATTGTAGTAATGTATGACATGAAATTTCATGTGAAATTTCTTTGTTTTCCATAAAAAGCAATTTTAATTTCCTTTCCAGTGTTGAAGCTGCTATAAAACGTTTAGGTCTTGGGATATTAATTTTAAGCATTTATCAAGTAGGCTGTATATTTGTTCCTGAAAGAGCTATTCTTTCAGATGCATTTATGGTGAGAACTATTTATTGATATTTATTTTTTTAATGTTATTGAATTTTAAAGGTGAATCATGTAGTATATTTTCACATTTTAGATTTTGATATATCATTGTTAGATAAGATAAAATAAAATGGGTTGTAGCTCAGAAATATGTCCTACATAAATTTCTTATGTATATAAAAAATATTAGTGTATGATTTACCTATTTTATGAAGTAAAACCAAATGTAGCATAATTTTTTTTAAAACCTGCATATCATGTTAAGAAAGCCATTTATTAGTCTGTGTATTTGAATATTTAGATCATTTGTATTAAAGTTCTTAATTTGAAATTTAAAGATTTTAAAAAAGTATGACTTTTTGGAAATTTGTAGTAAATCACATTGCTAAAATTTAAAATGAAGTTAAAAACTGCTTAACATTATGCTGTGGAAAAAGTCTTTTATACTGTAAAGAAGCAAGACTATTGATGAAGAGAAAGCAGTAGTGAACATGTTAAAATCGTTTCTGTTTAATTACATTTTCTAATGTAAATGGAAAAACATACAATTGTGGATAAAAAAAGATGAGGACATTGAAAGTTATAGTGTTTTATTAAACCAAGACATTGCATTACAAAAGTTTATAATCTTTATCATTCACTAATGTGTGGACTCGAATGCACCCACATAGGATAACGAAACGCAATGAGAATACAGGGGATGGTCAAAAGATTGTACAGATTAATTTTTAAACTAATATAGCTGAACAAACTGAGTTTAGCTGTAATGATATTATAACTTTGAGTAGTGTTTGAGTTAATGTGTAAAAGAATTAGGATTATAACAAATTTTTACTGTTTACAATTTTTTCCTCTATAAAATTATTTGATCAGAGTAGTTCACCAACAAAAAATTTTTCCCGAGTTCTTATGATATTTTTTTTTTGCCAACGGCAGGCACTAGCCATTATAGGTGTTGGCCTTTACTAAGGCTAGAAATAGCGATCAGTTTATTATGGAGGCACCTGATAGATGAATCACTGTTGCCTCCTATGAAGGGACATACACTCATACCTTCTCCGGGATTCAAACCCAGGGTCCTTCGATATGGCAAGTCAGAATTACTAACCAGTTTTCTGTCTGGGCGGCAGTTCTTGTTATATTGTTGGAAACTTTTGCAAATAAAGTTCCCCTTGTTTTGGCAAATGGAAGCTGTGGTTGTATGCATACTTTTCAAAACTGCTGTTTCTAAGTATATGATTTTAGATGCATAATTTCAGTATCAAAAGACTGTGGTACCTTGTTAGAATACTAAATAATAATAAATTTTATGGAGCTCTTCAGTTCAGTCCCATGAATTGTAAGATTAACGATTCGTTTTGGAAATATTTATTCATGTTAAAAAGTAGTCTTGTATGTGCTTATATAATAAAATATACACTCTTGTTGCTAAAATATGGAACAGGACTAAAAGAAGTTAGCAGAACACCTGAATTTTACCAATGGTTTTAAAGATATAGTCCCTACCACACTGCTGTATTCAGTTTTGATGGAGGTGCTTTTTACTTATTACTAAACCTCTCGAGAAGACTTAAAGTGTCTAGCACTTTAAGTGCCGCCTTCCTTCCAGATACTATACACTTGCAAACATCCTAGTCTTTTCTGGGATTTTAACCCAGTCTGGCGGTATGGCAGTCAATATTGCTAATAGTAGTATGAGTCAGGATGGCCCACAAAATCACAGTAGAACTTAATGATACTTGACATGCAAATATCCCAAACCCATCAATGTATGTCATTGCACAGAGCTGGTTACAGGACACTGGAATGAAGGGAATTGACAGACAAAAAAAGGGCAGTGTTCACCTATGTCATAAATTCAAACTGGTTTCCATAGTAATGCTGTTAATTTGTAGCCAAGAAGAATGTCTCAGAGACCTATCTATTGAGGTCATGCACAATTGAGTGAGTTTCTGAGAAGATGCCAGAACCTTGCAGGAAGCAGTGTCCCCATGCCACTGAATTGCTAGGCATGATGGTTGGAGCAATGAAGCTGTGATATATGTTGTGAGTCGTGATTCCAGTATGCCGTTCATCAGCAGGTGGAGGACAGTAGTAGACCATGGAGGACTACTCGTTGATTGAGCGACCATTTGATCTGCCATGACTATATTGATGGCTACACTTTTCACCAGTTAACGAACCTACTGGTATGTTTGCTGTTGCATAGAACCATTGCACAGTGACTGGCAGAGAGTGGACTGCATTGTTGGCACCCCTTATGAAGTCTGTCATTTGTTGTGATGTTGCATCATGTTGGGTGGAATGGAATGGACTGAAGTTATATTATTTTCAATGATGAATACAAGTTCTTGCATGGTTGAAACTAATACTGCATACATGGCTTTTAGGTGGTTTGGGCAGTGCTATTTAAGCCATGTCGTAGTGACTCCATTTGTTACCACCTTGCTTGGCTTTAGTATGTGGTGCTATTGTATATGATAATCCACTGTGCTTTAGTCATCCTGCCCTTCTCCAATGACCAGTATTATCTCGATGTTATCCTTTGGCCTGTTGTAGCATTCATGTATGTGAGTCTGCCTGTGCTATTTTTCAACATGGTGATGCTCATCTACCTGCAGCACATGTTATTATGGATTTTTTTCAACAATATTGCAGCCCTCTCATTGAACACATATGGAATATGGCCAGCTGCCACTTCAGCCATCACAAAATGCCTGATCTATTGCATGATACCCTGAATCTGGCGAGCCGTCTTTCAGGACAATGGTAATTTGTTTGCGTCTAGGCTAGACTGCATTTCTGCAGGCATCAGCATTTTTATGTTACAGTGGAACCTCAAGATACGAGTTTAATTCGTTCCAGCATTGACCTCGTATAGCAAATTTCTTGTATCTAGAAACAAACTTTCCCTTTGAAGTAAGCCAGAAAATACTCTATGACTAAATCTTTGGAATGTTTGATCTGCATTTCGTAAACCAAACAGCATATTAAGAAACTCGAGTAATCCTAATGGGGTGGTCACAACTGTTTTAGGCATGTTCTTTGGATTAACAGGAATTTGATGGTACACCCTAGCCAAATCGAGTGTTAAAAAAATATTTTTTTCCAAAAAATATCTTGAATATGTGGTACAGGTATCAGTCAGGTATAATCATAGCATTCAGGCGGCGATAATCACTGCAAGGGCACCAGTCACCATTAGCTTTATTTCCCACTGCTAGGAATGTCAAAATAGCACAAAGTAATGAAATAAGTGAAGTTAATATGTCAAATGAAGGAAATAATGTTAATAGAAGTAATGTAATATCAGGTGTTAGCTATGCTAATGCAATTAGTGGAAAGTCTGCTACTGTATACAATAAATTGTTGGATTATAGTGTTAAAAATGCAACTATTAGTAGTAGTAGTAGCAGCAGGGAAAAACCTACTGAGGTAGGTCAGAAGGTTTTTACTGATACCACACAAAACACAACACGTGCAATGTATGCAGATGACACCGCGATCCTCTCACAAAGTGCATTCACTAGCCCAGCAATACAATGATTACAAGACTACATAAACATACTTGACTCAAGCAATTCTTTTTACCAAGAAGCACAAATTCAATAAAAACCTGCAACTGTATGGAGAAGATATCCCATGGGCCAGCATGTCCTTTATGTTGGGATGATTTTCAGTAAAATTCTCTCATGGTACCCACACATATCTATCCTTAAAAAGTTTTGAGTTAGTAAAGCTACACTTCACCCCTTAATTTCATGAAACAGTGTACTTTCAATAGATAACAAGTTGCTTATTTGGGTAGGCATATCTTACCCAATTTGGTACAGTTTTGCCAATTTCCCTTAGAAAGACCTCCACGAAGGCAACCTTTCCTTTAGGCAGATAGCCCTCGAGACTTTGTTAGAATTAAATAAACCAAACTTGAGTTCCAAGTGAGCAGTAGCAGATTCATTTGGCTCAGGTATCAGAATAGCCATATTCACCTAAGCATGAGATTCAAGCTCAGTAATCTTATCAGCAACTGTAGCCAATTTATTCAAAATCATCTTCACCAAGAGCATTTAAAATATATTAGCCTTGCAAGCCACAAAGACCTTCGCAAAAGTTCACTTATGGTATCACCTGCCAGAGTGTGCATATGAGTCAATAACTGAAATAAGAGCATTGGTCATCAAGCTCTAAACCTTGCAACAAGGTAGGAATTTTCAGTGCTTTGCTTTCGAAATGCACTGAAATCAGTCTTTGTTTTAGGGCATCATATTTACCTGTAGCAGAGGTTTTAAAATGATATCACTGGCAGAATCAAGTATATCAGAGTCTACAGCAGTAACAACATGATTAAATTTTGTTAATCAAAAACAATTGATTTACAAAATGAAGCGGCGTGCAATGAATTGGAAGTTGATCTGTCAGCACTATCCTTATCTTCAGGGCAGATGTTTTTATTTTATTTGCCTTATAATTCCTTACTAAATGTAGTATTTCATCTCGATGTACTCCGTCTTTGATATGATTTAAACCAAACTCCTTGTCATTATAATTCGCTTCCAATAGTGAAGAAAGTGACACAGAGGTTATTGAAAACGAAAAAATAAATATTAAGCTTTTTTTTTTTTTTAAATAAATATTAAGCTTTTTTTTTTTGTAAATTTTGATACCCTTTAGTAGATCATAATTGTTCTTTATTTCATAAATTAAGGTTTCATATTTTTAATTTTATAATTTCTGCATGCCATCTTACCAGATTTAAACTGATGATCTATAATCCGGAAAAATCGATAATCCGGAATCGCCGAAGTCCCGATGAGTCCGGATTAACGACTTTTGACTGTATTCCTGATTTTCAGCTCTCTAATAGAATTATCTGCACAAATACTGCTGCCATGGAATCTCAATACTCAGCTTCCTCAAGCAGTTCATTGTGGCCATGCATAGTATTGGAATCTCAATATCATGCTGAGTATTGGAATCTCAATACTCAGCTTCCTCAAGCAGTTCATTGTGGCCATGCATAACTGCAGCGTTCTTCTTGGGGTCACCAAATGTGGCAATGGCTTACGCCACAATACTCAAAACTTGTTGGAAGGTTCATTAAACATAAAGCCAAACACTTTAGTAAACTGTAAAATTAACTTCATTTAAAACTAAAAGGTAAAACGCAAAACTAAATAAGTCGATGTCAAATGCCAAGCAGGAACAGTGAAGTACAAGTGCAAAAGTGAGTCTCTTTGCAAAATGTTCAAGTCTTTGTACTCGCGCTGTAATGAGTGCACTTGGGTACAACATAGCAAATGTGGATACTGCATGCAAATGTCAAAAATGCAAATATTCTTGTCGGAATGCTAAATCTTGTCGGCTGCCACAAATCTATTTGAAAATGAATAGCTATCTTTTTGTGAGGAAAAGTTGCAGGAATGAGCTATTGAATTTGTAACAAATTTTTATGTAGATTTCTTTGTTTTTATGTTGATCAGAGAGTGTGTGCAATTAATATTTTAGGTATTTAAATTAGATACTTATAAAGATGTTTTTTATTGTAAGCCTTTATCTTAAAATTATATTGCTATACTTTGTTTAAATCTTTAATACAGCAATTTATATTGCTCACAAGCGTTCTTTCTGTTGCAGGCTTATCCTCTGTGGAGGAAACTCATAATTATTGGAATATGGGGAAAAATTGCTTTATATAAATACATTGCTTGCTGGTTAATTTCTGTAAGTATAAGTGTTAGAAATTTTAAGTTCAGTATGGTTAATTTATGTTTTTAAAATCTGGAAAGTGTTTTTTTTTTTGTCAACTTTTTATAAATAGTATGATCTAAGTTTCAGTATATGAAAGAGTGTGATCATTGGGACCCAGAACTTTATGTATAAAGTATAGCCATTTAAGGAAGAAAAGGTGCATGACAATACAAGGTAGTCATAAAAAAAAATTCCTTGCTATAGGAACCTCTAGCAGCCTATCTGCTTGATCAATCAAAATGAAAATTCAGATATCAGTATCTGAAGGTATGTGCTCAAGATCATGATGATTTAAAACAATAGAGCTCTCTTGGTTACTGTTACAGTGAAAATATTTAAAAATTTTCGAATGGCAACACCCACTATTTTCCTGAGTGACCTTGATCAAGACATTGAAAAAACGCATACGGCATTGAAACGATATAGGTATGACAAATTTGCCGGCATAAAATATTTACCAAGAAAGCAGAGAAAAAAAAATTGTATTGGAATTACAAATTTTCAATATGTGCAACGTTTCAAGATAATCATCTCCCATAACTTTTCAGTTTTGGGGCCACCATAATCCCCTTGATTTCGAGTCTGAGGTTGTCTGAAATTGGCCTCGGACACTTAGCCGACGGGACACTTAACTGACACCAGTTAGCCGACAAGACATTTAGCTGACTCGGACACTTAGCCGACATGGATACTTAGCCGACAGTACATTTAGCCGATACGGACACTTAGCCGACAGGACATTTAACCGACACGGGCACTTAGGCGACAGGACATTTAGCCGACACGGACATTTAACTGACACGGACAGTTAGCTGACAAGACACTTAGCCGACAAAGACACTTAGCCGACAAGACATTTAGCCGACATGGACAGTTAGCTGACAGGACATTTAGCCGACACGGACGGTTAGCCAGCAGGACATTTGGCAACACAGAAAGTTAGCCGTCAGAACATTTAGCTACGGGACACTTAACTGTCAAGTCATTTAGTCAACAGGTCACTTAGCCGTCAGTGGCGTTTAGCTGACACATACCCAATAATTGTTCAAATTTACTGTCAATTACAAAATTTCTCGACTTCTCTCCATAAGTTCAATATTTAAATCATTTTCTTCACTTATCAGCAAAACTCATTTTTCTATTCTTAAAGATTTCATATGTGCTTTTAATTATTGTGTGATGTATATTGGCCAAATTGAAAAAGCGCTGAAATTTCTTGTCAGGGAATATGAATTAAATATCGAAAGGAAAAAATATTTTTTTTACCTAAGTACGGCGGTCACTTAATTACATTTTAATATGGGATTTTCAAAAAATATCCATAAAGCTTCTTCATTAATCAACTGGGTTCTTTTGAACACTCACATCATTAATAATTTTTCTTGTTTACTTAATGATATTAATTTTCCAATCTGGCTCTTCTTAATGCTTTCAAATTTGTAGGAAATTAAAAGCGCAATTCTGTAGCATTTTATTGACCACCCCTCTCACTTAAAATACTTACTTAGGTTAATGTTTATAACACTAAACTGTTGCATAATGTTTAATTTAGAATTAAAGTATTCTTTAAGGTTTTGTTTTATTCAGAACTGAATATATTTCCGCAAAAACTACATTTTTCACGCTTCATATATCGAAAACGCTGCTGATATGCAACTCTTATTTTTTAACCGCGCCTACTAAATGGTTTGTATCGTGTTAAGATCGTGCGGAAGCCTTTTGAATATGATTTATCGGAATTGGATAGTGCATGTTTTAGTACACTGTATAAATATAAATAGATTTCTCTTTTCCTAACTAATTTGTATATAATATTATGTACTCATAATCATAATATTACACACACAATCATCTTTCTTCTCTCATCAGGCAATAGAACCCCAGGATAAACACCATATATCCGCAGTATTGCAGTTCTCTCTCTTTACATATATATAGTATACATATAATCACAATAATTTTTTCCCTAAACAAAAATTATGCAATAATTCAGCTCTCTCAGTATTAATTTTTGAAGTTTTATAATAATGGCCTATAGTTAGCAGGTAAAAATGTGTTTGCCTGATTCCGACATTTTAATGGAGTTGCTTATTTTTTATCTTAAGAATGGTAAATAACTGCCTGGTTGATGATGAGGTGACAATGATTTTTAAAAATCTCTTTTCGGTCACCACAACCTCGAAAGTTCTCTTTATTATTTTTTTAATAGCAAAATAAAATAGAGATGCTAATCTAACACTAAACCGCCAATATTTCCTTTAAAAACATAATTCAAAAATAATACTTACTTTGGTATTCAGGTTTGTGACATTTTCGAGCAATGCATTTATAAAGGTTTAGCCTAAAAAAGCAATTTTCATTGGAAGAGACTGGTTCTATATTAAGGAAAATGGTCACTCTATTTCTGATAGGCCCAGTAGCGTCTGAGCGGTAAAGTCGCAGAGCACTGGTAGTTCGGCCCGAAATTTGAATCCCGAGAACAGAGTGCCCTTAGTTTGGGTGTTTCCTTAGTTTTCCCCATATGTAACGTGTATACGAGCCAGTTTTCCTTAGAACGTCCTCCACGAAGGCATCCCTCCCCTTAGGCAGATAGCCTTCTGGCTTTGTCGCAATTAAATAAACCAAACCTACTTCTGTTAGGTGGCTGCAGTACCATGTAGCTAACCCAAAAACAAGAAAGAGAAGGAATGAAAGAGAGGAAAAAAAAAATGAATGAAAAATGAAATGAAAATTTATACATTTTTAACAGATATTGAGAATTATATTTTATAAGAAAAACATTAATATAACATATTATATTGAAAATTACACTTTCCGACTTTCAAAACATAGTGCATAATATTATCTATTTACATGACTGCTGTAGTTAAATCTAGCATCGATAGATAGCACCATATTACGGTGACTTTTCACGATCTGACACTTTGCTCCGCCCTACTTGGTTTGTAGCCGCCTTCTTCTGCAGCTTCAGTTATGAATAAAACAAAACCTTAAAAAATATTTTACTTCTAAATTAAACATTATGCACTAGTTTAGGGCTATAAACATTAACCTACGTAAGTATTTTAAACGAGAGGCGTGGTCAATAAAATGTTACAGAATTTTTATCTCAAGGATGGTGACATGAACTGCAAATTATTGAGGTCACAAATAATTTATACCTTTGCTGGTCTTAAAAATTCACTTTTTTTAATTAGTTTTAATAACAAAATAAAATATATTTGCTGAACTAACCCTCATCGCCATATGTTTCTATAAAAAAGTATAATTCAAGAATAACAAAAATTTTTATTGCATTATTCAGATTTTTCATGACAGGTAAAGGAAATTTCATTAGTGGGAGGAGCCAAACGATTTTTTAAGGGAAGGAATGTTAACATGATGTGATGAGCAAAATAATAATGAAATGTACAGATATTAGAAATTTGAAAGCATTTGGAAGAGCGAGATTGGAAAATTAATATCATTATGTAAACAAGAAAAATTATTAATGATGTGAAAGTTGATTAAATGAAGAAGCATTACGGGTAATTTTTGAAGATCCCATATTAAAATGTAATTCAGTAACCACCATACATAGCTAAAAAAATTCTTTTTTCTTTTCGATATTTAATTCATATTCCCTGACGAGAAATTTCGGCGCTTTTCCAATTGGGCCAATATACACCACATAATAATTAAAAGCAGATATGAGATCTTCAAGAATCGAAAACTGAATTTTACTGATAAGCGAAAAAAATAACTTAAATATTGAATTTATGGAGAAGTCGAGAAATTTTGTAATTGATAGTAAATTTAAATAATCATTGGGCACGCGTCAGCTAAACGTCACTGTCAGCTTAGTGTCCCGTTGACTAAATCCTTGACAGTATACGTGCTAAATGTTAACCTAAAGCTGTCGGCTAAAGTCGGCTAAATGTCCTGTCGGCTAAGTGTCCTTGTTGGCTAAATGATTTGTCGTCTAACTGTACGTGTCAGCTAAATGACCTGTCGGCTAAGTGTCCTTGTCGGCTAACTGGTGTCGGTTAAGTGTCCCGTCGGCTAAGTGTCACGGATCCGTCTGAAATCTGATATATACATTCATGAGATTTGTCAGAACTCAAGGATGTCATAAAATATGAAGTAATGCAGATTCTTCCTGTGATATTACATTCAACATTGTTGTCATCAATCTCCAGCATGGAATGCGTTATTGTCCACGATGACAAGCATGTTGAGAACTTGCAATTCTATCAAAAAATTTCCCCTGTTTTCTCGCTTGAGTTGTCATTTATCCTTTACAGTGCTCTTCTCTGCAAATATTTTATGGTGGAAATTTTCATTATATGTGTTATCATTCCAACGCCATTTATGATTTTTCAGTGCACTGATCAATTTAAAATACAGAAAAAAAAGAAAGTTGGTAGAAAAAAAGTTGGTGTTGACACTTGAAAATTTCAAAATGTCTTACTGTAATTTTAACTGTGAGAGCTGTATTGTTTTAAATCATAATTGTCTTGTGCATGCATACTTTGAAATAACAATATCTGAAATTTCATAAGAGTTGGTTGAGCAGATGTGCCGCTAGGGGTTTGTATATGAGGCAAGTTGTTTTTATGACTACCTTATGTCAAAATGAGTATGTAATTTAGGTGTAATATAATTAATAACTTTTCGTTACTTATGCATTAACCAGCACTTGGTGACACATTTCCAACAGTTTACTGGTGCCTTTTAATATGAAATGTATATTCAACATTAGCAGATTAATGAAATAGGGTTTTAAATTTCCAGGATTTATTGTTTGGCAGTCACATTCAAAATTACATCAAAATGTTTTTCTCTTCAGCTTATCTCTGTCTCTGTGGGAATTCTGCGAAATAAAAAAGCAAGTAGCTTTTCTAGAATCGTTTCAAACATGTTTTCTAATATTTTGTTGGTTGTTCTCATTTCATTTCCATCTTATATCTTCTGTGTAGTTTCATAGCATATGC